AACATTTGGTAGTGTGGTGGCTCCTTAGGATAAGCACTGGACTGAAAACCATAAGGTCAGTTCAAATTCAACAGCTGCTCCTCAGGATAAAGATGAGACTTTCTGCTCCTGAAAAGATTTATAGCCTTGGAACCCCTATTGTTGTTGTTGCTAAGTGCCATCAAGTCGGTTCTGATTCATAGCAACCCTGTATAAGATTTTTGAGGAGCAACTAGTGGGTTTGAGCTGCCAACCTTGTGGTTCACAGTGCAGTACTGATTCACAGAGCCATACAAGAGTCCTTATACAGGGTCTCTATGAGTGAGTCCCAACTCAATGGCACTTGAAAACAACTACATATAAAATATGGGAGCAGGGTGGCTCTGTAGGATAAGCACAGGACTTCTAACGACAAGTTAGCAGTTTGAGTCCACCAGGCGCTCTGTGGGAGAAAGATGAGGCTTTCTGCTCCCAAAAAGATTTCCAGCCTCAGGAACCCTACATAAGGTCGCTGAGTCAAAACTGACTTGACGACACTTAACAACAACAGTATAGATACACGACAGACGCAAGGAGCACAGTGATGGACTGTTAACCACAAGGTCGGCAGTTCTAGCCCACTAGTGGTTCTGTGGGAGAAAGATGAGGCTTTCTGCTCCTGCAAAGATTTAAAAAGCCTCAGAACCCTATTATCATTGTATATAATATATATACAATAACTATATATATATTATGGAGTCCTAGTGTGGTACTGTGGGATAAAGCATTGGACCAAAAGGTCAGTTTGAATCACAAGGTCAGCAGCTCAAATTCACCAACAGCTCCTTGGAAACCCTATACAGGGTCACTGTGAATTGGAACTGAATCGACAGCACTTAACAAGAACAGAACACACACACACACATATATATATATACTGGTGCAGTGCTGCAGGATAATGCACTGGACAGCAAGGTCAATCTGAACCATAAAGTCAACAGTGCAAACCTACCAGCTGCTCCTCGGAAACCCTAGACTGGGTCGCTATGAGTTAGAAGTGGCTTGATGGCACTTAACAACAACAACAAAAATACATAATAAGGAGTCCTGGTGTGTCAATGCAGGATAATGCACTGGACCGCAAGGTCGGTGGTTCAAACCTACCAGCTGCTCCTTGAAAACTCTATATATGGTCATAATGAGTCAGAACTGACTCAACGGCACTTAACAACAGGCAACAACATATAGGGTCACTATACATCAGAAACAACTCTATGGCACTAGGTTTAATTTTTGAAGAGGATATTCTCATTCATTTATTTCAATGAATAAATATTTGTTTGGGGCTTACTACGTGTTTGTTGGGGTCCTGATAGTGTTTTCTGTTTCATTGTTAACAAAATAATGGAATAATATGTAGCAAATTATTTAAAGTTTTCACAATTAAATAAAATATATTTCTTTTCATACAGATTAAAAAATAATAATACATTAAAAGGAGTCCTGGTGTGTCACTGTAGGATAATGCACTGAACCGCAAGGTCGGTGGTTCAAACCTAACAGCTGGAACTCAGAAATCTTAGGGTCACTATGAGTCAGAACCAGCACTTAACAACAACAAAAAAATACATAATAAAGATATGTATAAACATATGGAGTCCTGGTGTGGCACTGTGGATTAATGCACTGGACTACAAAGTCAGTTTGAACTGCAAGGTCAGCAGTTCAAGCTCACCAACTGCTCTTCGGAAACCCTATATAGGGTTGCTATGAGTCAGAACTGACTCGATGGCACTTAACAATAACAACAACATATCCATTTATACACCCAAATGACTGTTTGCTATAAGATATTGAGGGAGTGTCACTATCTTCCTTCATTCTCAACATATGCTTAGCAAGTACATGACTGTGTATCTAACAGTACCACTAACATGCTGTTTCCTTGGGCACATTTCTTTCTCTGAGCCTGGTTTCCATCTATAAGTTGATTATAAAGAACTGGATAGTTTTGAAGGATCCTGACAGCTCTAAACTTTGGTGATTCTAGAATCCTGTAGTTCTAGTCCCCAGGCCCCTGATTCACCCCAAGGCTGTGGAGCATAACTCTTAAGATTAGAGGCTCTGGTACCAGATAGACTGGTTCTAGTTCTTCCTGGGATAGCAGCTGACTGTGTGGCTTTTGGAGGTCACGTAACCTCTCTGGACTTCAGTTTCACATTTTATAAAATATTGCTGTTGTTGTTGTTAAGTTCCATGGAGTCGGTTCTGACTCATAGCAACCCTGTATAGGGTTTCCAAGGAGGGGCTGGTGAGTTTGAACTGCAGCACCACATCAGGCCTCCTAAAACAGGATTATTAAAAATGAGAACCTCACCTTATTGTTATAAAGACTGCATAAATTAATCTATGGAAACTGGCTCATGAAGAAAAGGATCACAGTGCATTAAGCTTAGGTTGTGAATTGAAAGGTCAGTGATTGATACCCAGCAGCCACTTTGTGGAAGAAAGACAAGGCAGTTCACTTCTTTAAAGATTTCCAACTTTGGATACCCTATTGGTCAGTTCTACTCTACTCTACAAGGTCGCTATGAGTCAGAACTGACTGAACAACAGTGGCTTTGGTGGTTTGGTTTGTTATGTTGAGTGTGACCATGCCGCTGTTGTTGTCACAATAACCTCACCCCTTCAGCTTGCTGACCAACACCACAAGAAAGGCTTGGCTTCCCAGATGAAACACAGCTCTCCCCATAGCCCAGGGCCTGAGCTTCCTGGTCCACAGAGCTCCCACCCTTACCTCCTGGACAGAGGCCATGACTTCATCCACCTTTACAGCATCTACCACAAATTCCTGACTTTCCTCTCCCTGACCCCCACACCCCATCAACCTGTTTCAGGATCCCTATGAATCCTGTCCATCAGTTCTGGCCAAAGGAAGGATCTCATTTCTAAAGTGAACAGTGGGAAGAAAGGGATGGCGATTGGTCTTTGCTTCCAATGCCTGGAGGAAATTTTTAGAACATACAGATAAGCAGGAAGATTACCTCCCACACCTACCATTCAGAGATCATTTTGTGTGGGATGCCATCTTCAGAGAGGGCAGGGATGACCTCAAAATAAGCAAGGCCAGAAAGACAAAGACTAGGATCTTGGTACTCTTGCCTCTTGGTTCCCCCTCTCCACTCTGGCCTGGCAGTGTCTGGAAGCTTCTCCACTCAGCAATCTCAGCTGCCCTTCCTCCTCTCCTCTTCCCTTATGAGCAATTGTACTCCCTAATCTCTGGGCTTGTTTTAATGGATCATATTAGGGGCTTGTCCCTAGGCCCATAAGTAGAAAGGGTAGCAGGTATTTCTACAACATTTGGTGACTAGAGGGCAGTCTTCAACAGTGTCTGTCTGCTGGCCGAGTTGCATTCCTTAAGTCACTGTCCAGCACTGTTCTCTTCAGAGAAGACTCACCCACCCAATGGGGGAGGAAGGAAGGGGCACTGGAAGGAGTGGGGTGAGCCAGGGGACCATACCACTCCAAAGATGTGCGAGATGTACTGCATGCTGAACTGCTGACTCTGAGAGGGCCAGTACTCCAAGAAAGTGTCCACGTCCAGCCGCAGTGCCTTCTGCTCCTCCTCCCCAAAGTGTTCCACGTGGTTCTGCAAGTCATCCACAGAGACCAGGCAGCCCTCTGTAAGCCCGGTGCCCTCTCTCTCCACCCGCCACATGATCCGCGTGGCCAGCCTGTGGAGAGGGACAGCATTGTGAGGTAGCCACATCACTCACTCATTCAACAAATATTTACGGAGTGCAGGCCGAGTGCACGCCAGACATGGGGTAGGACACAGAGTTTTGAACTAGACACTCTTTTCTCATAAAGCTTCTGATACTAGATGAGACAAAAATAAATCAGGAAATTTTAACCATTGGTGTGGTGCTGTGGGTTAATGAGCTGAACTGCAAAGCCGATTTGAACTTCAAGGTCGGCAGTTCAAGTTCACCAGCTGCTCCTAGGAAACCCTATACAGGGTCGCTATGGGTCAGAATCGATGCTACACCACTTAACAACAACATACAGAAAATAGGAGTCCTGGTGTAGGGCTGTGGGTTAATTCACTGGACTGCAAAGTCTATTTGAACTGCAAGGTCAGCGGTTCAAGCTCACCAGTCACTTCAAGGAAACCCTATACAAGGTCACTATGGGTCAGAACTAACTCGATGGCACTTAACAACAATAACAACATACAGAGAATAAAATAGGGTAATATGATCTAGAAACTAGTGCCATCAAATTCTGAGTCATGATGACCTCATGTGTGTTAGAGAATTGTGCCATTTTCCATGGGTGAGTTCTAGAAGCAGATCATCAGGTCTTTCTTTTAAGGTGTCTGTAAGGTATGCTGGAAACTCCAACCTCTCAGTTGTTCACTAAGATGTTCCCTGGGTGGTGCCAACAGTTAAAATACTCAACTGCTAGCCTGAAGGTTGGAGGTTTGAGTCCACCCAGACATTCGAGTCTGTTTCCACTGACTGCTGTGTGACGTTCGGCAAGTTACTTGACCTCTCTGAAACTATCTGGTGGGCAATAAAGTGGAGATCATATTCCCTGCCAAACTAACCTCCTGGTGTCATGCTAAAGGAAAAGCACTAAACTGCTAACAAAGTAGGTGGTTCAAAACCACCAGCTGCTCCTTAGAAGCCTGGCTCAACAGCATTTAACAACAACAATGCTAAACTCACTCACTCATTTTGATGATAATCATGTGTGAAATTATTCATATCCCTAATGATTGCATAAGAGAGTAAGTGGAAACAACAATCTAGAAGGTGACAGGCAGTGGGCACCAGAGACCAAAGGGCCTGAGAGAGAGGCAGAGGGGGGTGCTTCACCCCAGGGCAGAAATGGGCTCTTGCTGATGCTAACTGTTGGACAACACATTCTCACAAGCGGGATCCTGTGGTCCAGGGACATTTTGATGTCTCTCTGCCACCCACTGACTACAGACTGGCCAGGTGCCTTAGAGTGGCTGGTGGTCCAGGGCAGACCTTGTCCTTGAGGTATCTGGGAACTGAGGGGCCCCCACATGTGACCCAGTACATAATAAGGCTTGGGGTCAGGTTTTTAGGGAGATCTACTATTGCCAAGTACTTGGAAAATGCTTGTGAAGCAAAGAGAGTGCAGGCTAATGGGTGGTAGATCTCAATTCAGCATCAGCAGACATGATCAAATGGACCCGTCCAGACTGAGCTCCCTGTCACCAGAAGTGGCATTAACCATTAAGAATAAATAGAATTTCAACAGATGAAACTAAGAGTAAGGGGCTTTGACTAAACCATTTTATTTTATGGTTTCCTAAAAGTTACCAGGATATGATGACTCCATTCTGCCCTTCAACTTCACCCCTACACACACAGTAAAAATTCTCCCACTGTTACCAACGCCCCCATTTCCTTTGCTCCCCAATTGCTAGTTTCATGAGCCCTGGTCTGGCACCTGGCCAAATCCCTACCCACCTTAGAGCCTTCAGGACTTTTGAATTCTTGAAATGAGGCTCCCCAGGTCTGTGTCCCTGAATTTCTGGCAATGCCACCAGGAGAGGACACTAAACATACAAACAAATAAACCCACTGCCATGAGTCGAGTCCAACTCGTAGAGACCCTGTATAGGGTTTCTGAGATTGTCAGTCTTCATGGGAGCAGAAAGCCTCGTCTTTCCCCTAGGCAGCAGGTGGTGGGTTCCCAGTCTAGAATTTACCCCCCAGCACCACAGCTCTCCCAGCTGTTTAAAAGTCATTGTCTCTGGGGTATAATGAGTGCAGAGCTTTGCATTTAAACTACAGCGAATTGTGGGATTGGGTGATTTTGAATGATCTGCATTTTTTAAAGTGAGGGTAGCAGGAGAGGATACTATTGAACTACAGCCCTTTTTTGCCAAATCTTCTAATTCTTTTTTCCTAACAGAAGCCAGAAATCTTGATTTTTTAAATTGTGAAATGTTCCAATTTTGAATATTAGGCACTAAACTTTAAAAGAAAATGAAACATCAAGAGCGTCAGCTCCAGTCAGAAGCTGCTCTAGACACAAGGTTCTCCTGCTCAGGCAGGCTCCAGACCAAAGGGGGTACGTGGCGGAAGTGATGCAAAGTTCAGTCTCCGGAGGCTCTTTCCTGAAGCTCAGCCCACCACCTGGCTTCACTGGGTCTGGAGATGGTTTCACTGACACTTGGGAATCCGAAGCACCAGTCAGGGGAGGGGCCCAGCTCTAACCTGATGTTTTCATTGGGCCTTTTCCCACATCTCTTAATGGCCGAGCACTCGTTCTTGTGATCCAGCCAGGCATCCTTCTGGCAGGTACGGTCACAGTAATGGGCAAACTTGCACTGTCCACAGCGATGGAGTTTCTCCTGTCTCTTGAAGCAGGTGTGGCACACAAAGTTAGTGAGGCTGAAAATAGAGGGAGAAAAGACATGATTTGGGCTGGGGCACAGTGGAAAGGGCCCCACCCTGGCTGCTGGGAGACCTGGATTCAAGGACTGACTCAGTCAATCAATGCGTGTCCTTCTAAGCTTCAAATGAGGGGCTTGGGCCTCCAAAGGTCCCTTCTAGCTGTAACAATTCCTTAAGTTATCTCAATGTGGGAGACGCTATTTCAGAAGTAGTCAGAGCTTTCTTCCTCATCCACTGTTAGCCTGAAAGCTCCACTGAAGCCTGTTCAGCACCATAGCAACATACAAGTAAGTCTCCACTGACAGATGGGTGGTGCTGAGCATGAGTCATAGGCTGGGGATTCAACCCAACATTCTACCAATGAAACACCACTGAGGGGCATGCTATACAGCATGTCCTTCTCATTGTAGAAATATGATATCCCTTTACCAAAAGAATAAAAATACTGTCTATCTGAAATACAATAAAACACGAAACATGATCATATTATACATGACAAGAGGTCACCACAATATGACATACGGTCCAGTTCTGTGTTCTGCAACTGCAAGAACACCAATGTTACCAATGTCGATGATACTGATATATTGTCCCAGCTCAATAATGCATTTCCATGCAATGGATGAAGTTGTAGAGATATGAAGTTCCTTAACTGCTTCTGGCCTCCAGTGTTCCCATAAGAAAGCTACATGTCTCCCCATGCCAAACCCATAATTCAAAAACAAACAGGAATAAACTAAAATGAAGAAAGCTTGTTTCAAAACATAATTTGACACCCAGAGTGAGACAAATCGAGTGTAATACACAATATTTCTAGGGTACTAACTGCATGTTCCTGCAATGTGAGTGAAATAAAGCTTGAACACTGAGGCAGAGAGATAGTGAAAACAAGTTCAGTAATGAGCAGGGAAATGCCAAGCTCTCAGGGGAAAAGCAGGCAGCTAAACTCAGAAGTATAAGAAAGCATAGGATTTTAGAATCACAGATTCCGACAGCCTTCTTTCTTGGATTCATCATAAAATCCAAGTACAGAAATGTCTTGTGCCATTCATTCCAATCCTGAATTTTCTAATTTTCATTGAGAAGAAGTAGTTACTACTTCTGTGAACAGTTATTCTCTTGTTGACAAGCCTTAATGATTGCAAAGCTCTTCCTCACAGTAAACTTGAACTTACCTCTCAGTAAAATATACCCTTATACTCTAATCTGGGAGTCATGGTGTGGCACTGCGGGTTACTGCACAGGACTACAAAGTGGGTTTGAACCTCAAGGTTGGCGGTTCAAGCTCACCAGCAGCCCCTTGGAAACCCTATACAGGACCGCTGTGAGTTGGAACGGATTCAATGGCACTTAAACAACAACAACATACTCTGATTTAAGGGGCCTTGGTGTGCAGTGGTTAAAATTCAAACCCATCAATTGCTCCAAGTGAGAAAGATGTCTGCTTCTGTAAAGATTTACAGCTTTGGAAATGCTACTAGGTAGCTCTGCTCTGTTTCCCAGGGTCACTATGAGTCAGAACCCACTCAGGGACAATGGGGTTTATGCTCTAATTGGACTGTTATGATCCTGGCCCGATGGAACAATCGTGTCACATTAATTCTTCAAAAATTTGAAGATTCCTGCCAGGGTTCCCCTTCAATTCCCTTCTCTAAGTTAAACATTCCCTGTTCCTTGGACTTTTGAAGATGTTTCATAATTCTTGCAGTATTCTAGCAGCCTTCTAATGTGCTTAAAGCAGGTCCCTGCAGTCACAGAAGATGCGTGTATGTCTTCGTTTCCTAAAGCTGCCATGATAAAGTAGCACAAAGTGGTAGCTTCAAATGACCAATCTGTATTTTTTTCACAGCTCTGGATGCTAGAAGTCCAAGCTCAGGGTGTCACCAGGGCCACACTCTCTCTGGAGACTCTAGGGGAAGACTATTTCCGGTATCTCCCATCTTCTAGTAGTCCCAGATCTTGCCAGCTTGCCCTGTGACCCTATTGTGGACTGAATCATGCTTTGACTTACAGCATAACGCCATCTTTTCCTCTCAGTTACATGGGATAGGACACACACAGCCTACTCCAATATGACCTCAGGATTACAAAGCTAACAGCTTCTTCAGAGATCCTTTTTTCCAAACAAGGTCACATTCATGGGTATTAAGGGTTAGAATGGTAACATATCTTTTGCTGGGAAACAATTCAATTCATAACAGATAGCGAGACAAATAAGCAAGACCTGGCAGCCAGTGCTAGGGTACCAAGCTCAAGGAACAGGTGAAAGGCTGGACCCCATGATCCAGGAGTCACCAAACATAGAACACCCACAGCCCAGTCAAGAGCACCATATGAGCTGCTTCTCTAACCTCAGTCCTAGGCTTCCTTGAATCCAACCAGTTTTCAGCCCTACACGCAGCACACTAATGTTTCCCCATCTGTTGTTTGCTGTGTTACTAGTAATTTGTTAATAATCACAAAGTACTCAATGTTTGTTTATAAATGGGAGCAGTTCCAAAGTAATCCGGATAATAATGTCTTTTGCATTCCCTTGTGTTCCCTTAGGCATTCTGAGTGAGCGAGTAAGTAGCCTACTTAGCATTACACAGAACTCAAAGCTCATCTAATTATGCCACAGAGGGTGTACCGTGAAGGTCCCTCACCATGAGAAGGTCGTTTGTCATGAGCATTTCCACAGAATAGAACACATGGAGCTATTCTGGACACACTGGTTAGGGGTCAGCTGTACAACCAAGAGTCCTCTGAATTTTCATGAATACAATGCTCACGAAAAAAATCAGGAATTGTTAATGTGCTACACTGAAATTTACTCAATAACAACCAGTCAGATTTAGATCTACACAGATTTTTTTCGGAGAGGAATATTTTATTCCTAGGATTGTTTAGAACTGCTGGTGCATGGTGAAAATCAACAACAGATTGACTTTTCGTTGGTTACGTTGTTTTAAAATTCTATACAGATAATGTTCCACATCCCCCTTTTGCTTGTACCAGGATCACCCCACCCATGCCTCTTAGTAGGGAGGATTCTCTGAGCCTTGTTCAAAGGAAAAGAATGCATCTGTCCTGACACTTACCTCCAGGAATTGAATGAATACACTTCTAACAGGCCCTGGTTATATAAAAATCCATCTGTCATGAATTATAGCTATATTATATTCAGAAGAATAAATTCCAGCAGAATGCCCCCCCCCCCAACGTCTTCAAAGTCATCAATAACCACATTACGCAGAAAAGGGCAATAAACAAAACCTTGAGGTGCTGCAATATGGACTTCACTCTCAACTGGATGACAGATACAAT